ACATTTCTGTGAATCAGTGAGCTGACCTTCTCCTGTGGAGACATACATTTTTCCTGAAATTCCTGATAAAGCGAGCTGTTCACTTGAAAGTGTTGCCGATATCTGTTGAACAGTTACATTGATGTTTACAGTCTTTCACTTACGACCTTGTCATTTCTGTCTGTCCATCCTGTCTGTCTGTCTATTGTTCATTCTATCTTTCATTCTATTGCTCTATTTATCATTCTATCATTCTTTTTTCATTCATTTGTTTGTTCTTTTGCACATTCTATCTATCTATCTATCTATCTATCTATCTATCTATCTATCTATCTATCTATTTATCATCCATTTGTTCTGTCTGTTGTTTGATTGTTAGTTTGTTCATTCTCTCTTAAAAACAAAGGTTCTTAATTGGCATCAATGGTTCCATGAAGAACCTTGAACATCCATGGAACCTTTCAAATGAAGAAAAGGTTCTTTATAGTCAAAAAAGGTTCTTTAGATTTTTAAATGTTCTTCAAAATAGTTTTTTTTTTAGGAAGGAAGGTTTGGGGAAACAAAAATGGTTCTTCTACGGCATCACTGCAAAAACACCCTTTTGGAACCTTTATTTTTAAGAGCGTTCCTTCAGTCATTCTATTTATGATTCTGTGATTCTATCTCTCGTTCTGTTTATGATTCTGTGATTCTATCTCTCGTTCTGTTTATGATTCTGTGATTCTATCTCTCGTTCTGTTTATGATTCTGTGATTCTATCTCTCGTTCTGTTTATGATTCTGTGATTCTATCTCTCGTTCTGTTTATGATTCTGTGATTCTATCTCTCGTTCTGTTTATGATTCTGTGATTCTATCTCTCGTTCTGTTTATGATTCTGTGATTCTATCTCTCGTTCTGTTTATGATTCTGTGATTCTATCTCTCGTTCTGTTTATGATTCTGTGATTCTATCTCTCGTTCTGTTTATGATTCTGTGATTCTATCTCTCGTTTTGTCATTCTATGATTCTGTCCTTCTATCTATCCTTCAGCCATTGTATTTATGATTATGTCATTCTATCTATCATTTAAATAGCTTTAATGGTGATCTTTATAATGTCATTTTGTTTGAATAAGGCTTGCTAATTGCGCTTCATTTTTTTTTCTGGCTATGGTGAATTAAAGGAGCAGTTCACCCAAAATGTAAATTTTGGCCATCCAAGATGTAGATGAGTTTGTTCCTTCATCAAAAAAGATTTGGAGACACGTAGCATTACATCACTTGCTCACCAGTGGATCCTCTACAGTGAATGGGTGCCG